GCTGTTTGTGGGTGACCTCAGACTGTTGCTTGGGAGAATTGAGTCACTGACTTTACATTCAAACAGTTTTCATTATATGGAATATGATCACGTTGAAATGTCTGAAATTTTTGGAGCACTATATTTGTGGCTTGAATTCCTTGGGTAGGCCTCTTTATGTTGAACAAATGTGTTTGTGATATTGCACCAAACTTTGTCCTTCCTTCAGGCCTGCTGTTGTGTTATCTCAAAGGGGACCTCTCAGTTTGAAAGGTCACCTCTTGCCATGACACTCTTGTTGACATAGTTAGGGAGGAATATTATCCTTTTTGTTTCCTCATCAGTAGTAGGTCCAGGTTCTCTAAGATGTTCTAACTAGGAAATTATAGAATACAGGTCTACACCATAACTAATTGGCCTGTACGTATTATCAGTTGATTTGATTCTTTAAAATGTGTTGTTTAATTTATGAACAGATTGTTACATGGTTTTTTTCTGTCTTGTGAAATAGTACATCGCAGTAGGCTGTAGTATTTAGAATACACTTGTATAATCTTGTGAAATTGTTCCTGTTGCCAGTGACAAGAGCTCTTAACCATGAATATTTCACCATTACAGTATATAACTGCAAACATGTTTTTGGTTTAGTTTAATGGAATCTGTTTGTGTAATGGTGTTTTATTTGACTTCAGTGAACATTGTATGTCTGTAGTCCCATTATTGTACTTGAAACATTTAATTTGGATAAAAGTAATAAAAAGCTGAGAATGTTCAAGTCTGAGAGCAGGAATGTTTACATATTACAGTGCTGGCAAATACTTGCTGAACCAAGTTTTAGTTTGTCCATGTTTTTTAAAAAAGTATTTGGGAAGGAGCTGGTGTCAAAATATAAAATTTGAATTGGTGGGTCTTGGAGTCAGGAATTTACTTGCGAAGGAATGAACAGTGAACTAGCAAATACGTGAATTTTTGTCTTGTGGAAAGCTTTGTCTTTTTTATGCTAGCTATTATAACAGTCTTGAAGATGGGAGTCTGGTCATTCATATGGTATGGCACAGCTACCGTTTCTGTTTGGTGACGTCAAGTGGTTGTAGTCAGGCCATTCGTCCGTAAGACTAGAGTTGGGCCATTCGATGAGATCATGGCTGATTGAATAAACTTCAACTCAATTTTCCCACCTTATCCCCATAACCCTGGATTCCCTAACTGCTTAAAAAACCTCTTTGACTCAGCCTTGAATACACTTAACAATCCAGCCTCTCTGCTTAAAAAAAAAGTTGCCACAGTTTCATGACCATCTGAGAGAAGAAATGTTCTCATTTCTGTCCAAACTGGACAACTCCTTTTTCTGAGATTATGCCCTGTGGTTCTAAATTATCCCACAAGGACAAACAACCTTTCTGCATCTACCCAATCAAGTCCTGAGAGTTTTCTACCTTTCAATAAGGTTGATTCTCATTCATCTAGGTTCCAATTAGTACAGGCCCAACCCACTCAACCTCTCCTCATAAGAAACTCTCTCCATACCCATGATCGGCCTAGTGAACCTTCTCTGGACAGCCTCCAGTGCTAGTAGATATTTCCTCAGGTAAGGGAACCGAAACTATTTACAGTATTCCAGCAGAGGTCTGATTAGTGCTTTGCAGAGTTTTAGAAGCTCCCTATTTTTTGTACTCCGTTCCCTTCAAAAAAAACGCTAGCAGTCCATTTGCCCTCTCTACTGTCTGCTGTACTTAGATATTAACTTTTTGTGATACATGTGAGGGCTCCCAAATCTTTCTGTGCTTCAACGTTCTGAAGACTTCCTCAACTTAAGTAATACACAGATCCTCTTCGTCTTACCCAACTGGATAACCTCACATTTTCCTGCATTATATTACATCTAAGTTTTGCATTTGTTCAACCATTAGACTTTGTGTTATCCTCTTTACTTGCCTTCCAACCTATTTTTTTGTTATATTACCAAACTTGATAATCATGCATTCACTTTTATTTAAAGAATCTCTTACTGTCCCTTTGAATATACTTGCTAGTTTGCCCACAATGTTTATTTTCTCCCTCATTTTATTTTATTTTGGCTTTTAAAACTTTTCTAATCCTGTGGTTTACCACTAATCTTTGCTACAATGTATGTTTTAAGTTCAACACAGATGTTTCCAACCCAAATTTCCCATTCTCAACCTGAATGCTACATTCTGCCATTTGATTGTCATTGTTTTCTCAGGAATGTTTTACTTTTGGTTAGTTTTATTGAACTCATCACGTTGCACATTGACAGATCCACTATAACTTGATCTCTGAGTAATCATTCACACCACACAAGTGACCACTTCCAACTAGAGAATCTGAACATCTGTGCTTGACATTCAGTGGCATTATGATCGCTAAATCCCCTTTTGTCAGCATTATATGAGTTACTCTTGACCCAAAAGTGAACTGGACCAGCCATCTATATACTCTACAAGAACCAATAAAAGGCAAGGAATCCTGCAGTAACTCACCACCTGACTCCTTACTGTCTCCGACTCCCAAAACCTGTCCAGTATCTTCAAAGCTCAGTGGAGGAATGTGGTGGATTACACTTCATTTTTGTGGATCATTGCAGCTCTGACAATGTTCATGAAGCTTGTTACCACACAGGACAAAGCAGTCTGTTTGTTTTGTTCTCTATCTACCACCTACAACTGCTTCACCACTGACGCATAATGGCAGCAGTGTGTACCATCTCAAATTGACTGCAGTGACTCAACTAGGTTGGTATGACAGCACCTTCCCAACATGTGACCCTTATATCTAGGAGGACAAGGTTGGCAGATGCATGGAACCACCACTATTTGGCAAGTTCTGCTCCATGCCATGTACATTCATTCCTCCATCTCTGCAAGGGCTCTTCCTGAGAACCCCAACGAATGATGAAATTTGCAAGTGCGGAGCTCATTTAAAAATAATTTAAAAATCATGGGTATTAATTTTTGCTGTTACTTAATTTTGGCAGAGATGGGCAGATTTGCAATTTATGATTCCTCAGATACAGAGGATTTACTGTACTAATCTTACTGGAACTATATTGGTATTGTTTCATCAACGGTGGGATAAAATTTAGGGATTCCCAGATGGCACTGTGTATGTCCCAGCACCCCATGAAAGTTCAATAAGTTACTCATGACCCCATTTTCACAAGTAGCTGGGGATTTGCAAGGAAAGCTAGTCTGGCCAGGGACACCCACAACCTGTGAGCAAATACGTTTTAGGGAATTACTTTTGGCCACAATCTTTTGGACTGATGAGAGTATTGAGCAGAGTTAGAGCTTTTGCTAACCGTCTAAATCTTAATATATTGTAAAGCCTCTTCTTGCTCAAATAGTTTGAGCAAAGCTTGCCATCAAGTCTCCCAAAAGAGGCACATCTACTGGATAAGGTTTTGATGGAATTCTGGTCCTTGACTGAAACTGCTGAAGTTATGTTTGGGAGAGAGAGTACTGGGTAGAAAGTTGCTGCAGAAATTTTGATAGTTTCACTGGATGCTGTACTGGGTGAGTTGGATGAAGAGCAGAGAAGTTTGAACAAGGGTAATTTCAAGCAATGGTTTCAAGATTAGGTTCCTTTGTTGGTTTTCGAGCAACAATGTCAATTCTGTATTGTTGGGGTCTAACAAACATTAGTCTCTAGGACTAGCATCCACTAAGTGACTGAAACCATTATTTAGTGGTCCTGATGCCTGATATTGTCTGCCTGGCCTGATGCTGCCTTCTTCTGGAGTGTGCCATGTGACAGTCTTTGTTAATCACTTGTGTTGGTCTCTTTTGGGACAGGACTGTCTTTTGGTCAGCTGTTTAAAGTAGATGGTGGTCAATGTAGCTTGCTATCCTCTGAAATGTTCCACTGCTGCAGTGCTTGACAACTTTGTGTTTGAGACTAGGCAGTGTGTTGGCAGGTTACTTAGCTGTGCAGGTGTCACAGCTAAGACCGGTCACATCTTCAGTTACCCTATGCCCCTTCCAATAGAACGCTCAGTGTGAATGCCAAACAGGGACTCTGATCTGAATTTTATTTCTCCCTGTTAGACATAGGCAAGCAAGAATGCATGTTCTAAGCTAAATGAGTTTTCTTCTCCTTAAATTCCTGTTATTAATTCACGAAAAATATAGGATGACCACCTAGGTTTCCACGTTGACTGCTGTAGATGTTTTTAATTCACCTGCTCAGATGTGTTACGAGGGATGCCTGGAGGAGGAGAGAAAGAGCAGGTCAGAGTGAGCCTCCTGGTTCAGCAGACAGGATACCACTACTGTGCCATAACAGTCCTTTTTAATGCATGGTTTGCTCGTGGGTATTTTAATGAATCAGTTCAGACACCCCTCTAGGTCATGCAGAATGTGAACCCAAATCCTTTGACCTAAAGGTAAGAAACTAACGCTTTGCCACAGCAACGCTGTTGACTGCTATATTCAGATGCCTATCTGGATTATTGGACCACAAGTGCTCTGGTTGGAGAAAATATTTCCATTTATGAACTTTAGAAACCATTGGGTTTTTTTTCCATCCAGTTGCTTGGGGATGAAAGAAAGCAGAGGGCTGTTGAGGGTGTTACAAACAGTGTTGTGATGGTGCTGTGGGACAGTTAGTACAGCTCCTGTTTGTGCACAGTGAGGTGGCTGCTATTGTAGAGTGAAAAATTTGTTTATTACGAGAAAGGTGCTTTAACTTGGACTGATATCTTGTCGCAATATGTCATTTATTTAAATTCACCGAGTGGGTTGGTTGTCTTCCTTCTTTGACTTTTTCATATGCTTCTCAAGTAAGCAAGGTGCTTTGGATCTCATTGCAGTGATGAGCCAATGAATATTGGGTTCTGTGGCATGAGGTTTACTGCATGGAGCTTGTTTCCATTTGTGTCTTTGTTCTTCCCATATCCATTTCACTGGTTATCTTCAGAGAGTAGCTTGAGAATTTCCACATGTGGAACTGTTTTGAATGTATGAGACTCCATGTTTATAATTATTTTGTTGTAATATTTGCAGTGGGATTTGGACAAAGGAGAGAACTACAAGGGAACCATTCAAAGCATTTGAAACTGAAGGTATTTTTAGAGTTGGTAATGTTGATACTTTAGTGACAGGGTGTTGCCGCTTTTCTAATGTTCGAAAATCTGGAGTAGAACATTGAAATACTAGAACATAGTTAATGTCAAATCACAGACCAGTAACTTGCACAATTTTCCTTTTGTTAATTCAAAAATGGCAGGCACTTAAATGAGGAATGAGACCCTACAGTTGAGTGTTTTAGTGTTGAAACAATCTAAATTAGGAAGCTTTTGGATTACATACTTGTTAGTTAACTTGCTGTACTTGGTCTCCATTCCTGCTTTGAAGGGAAAATACAAGAGTTCCTAACATTGAAATCTGGTCAGCGACCCATTTCATCTGTTTACATTGGTATTTTTTGTCAGCTTGTTCAGCAATGTTATGACGTACCACTGGTGCAGGTGGGCATTGAAATTGGGCCTTCTGCCTCAGAAGTAGGGGCACTACCAGTGGGCCACAATAGTCCTCTTGTTCAGACATGTTATGACACACCTCTTGGACAGGTAGGATTTGAATGTGGTTCTCCTGGCCCAGTGGCATAAAGACTACCACCGCACCAGGTGAGTCCTTCATCTGTTCATATTTTAACCAGCATTCTTAGACACTAGTCTTGGGCAGAGGAATTTGAACTCTGCCCTCCTGACTGAGAGATAGGGACACTACCACTGTGCCAGAAGAGACCCTCATCTGTTATGAATTCTCTTTATCACATGTAGCTATTGTAGATATTTTATAATCAATCTGTTCAGCAATATTAGAACAAGCCTCTGGAGCAGATGGGACTTGAATTGGCCCTCCAATCTCTAAGGTATGGAACTTCCACTGTGCTGCAAGAGTCTTTCATCTGTTAATCTCAAATGAGGCTAAATTAGGATCAGCTGTGGTGCCCTTTACGAAGTTAAATAACCTGGCTGAACCTTGTGGTCAGTGTTGCTAGTGAAGTAAAATTCTCTGTCTTCAGGAAAGTAGAAATAGATTTTAGGAAATATAGCATAAACGTGACCGAGAGCTCTCTGTGTGGAAATAGTGATTTGTTCTGGGTTGTAAGAGTACAAACAACCGTTGATATCAGTGTTTGTGCCAATGTGTGAACTGCCCTGTTGATCTGGATACCATCCTGTAGATTTAGATTTGCGAGATCATGGGCTCACAAACAGATTAAGACCTCACAGCTGTTCTCTTTGTGGAGCTCGCTGGCTTCTTGATGCATAGTTAGAACATTTCAGTACCTCTGGATGGAATCAGAAAATTATGTTTTGATTGGTCAGAATCTGACCACAGGATTCAGCAATTTAGCAGGTTCCATTCACTCATGTAATCTTGTGTTCAAGGTTGGTTTATGAAAAACGATGGAATGAATCAGTTTAAAATGAGTGCTGTGTAAAAATACGCATGTCTACAAAGTGGAAGTTGAGTGTGCATGCTGCTGTCAAGTGTAGGAGAAAGGTTACTCAACATCACTAATAACGGATTTAATGTAAAGAAACTTGAAACATTGAGTAGGAGTGTACTCAATTCAAGTTGACACCTGGGCAAAACCAAAAATGGGTGGACTGTGGTTCTTGGGTCCACTATAGTTTTTTAATTGTTGCAAATGATTTGTGGCTTTTGAGTTGTGATTTTTGTTGACGTGAACCGTTAAACTTTTCTATTGATAGCACAGCAAACTTTGTTTTAACCGGAACTTTTTAAACCAGCACTTGATAAACTGGCAAAAAGTGTATACTTCAAATACTGCAAAGTTTACAGTATTATCACTGTCTCTTAGACACATGTCTAAGTATTCAGTCTGACAGTAAGTTTTATTTAAGGCAAAGTTGCGTTATTTGTGACTTATACTGTAAATAAAGTATAACAGTGTGTATACTCCCTGCATTATATTTCTATTACTTAGCATGTGTTTTCACATTGATTATGTGGATCTCTTGACTGTACGGAATATTTGATCTACGGCACATGCCTCGTCCCCTCGGGTGTTAATAAAAAGTATGCTGTAAAATAATGGCATTCTCCTCTATTTTTGAAGTTAGTGAGAACGACAGAGTAATGCACAGTTTAAAGTTCAAATTTATTGAATTGGTTCTGTATGGTGGAACGATCCTGTGTCGCAATCGTTTTGCTCTTGATACAGAAAGAGCTGCAAATGGGCTTGAATTAAGCCACTTTAACAGCTGCTTTTGAATTTTTGACTTGGCAATGTGTCTTGAATCAATGGACTAAAAGCACAGCGTAGATGGAAATGAACCATTTCTGTTAGTAATTTGGCCAGGATCTAGGGAACAGAGATTGAAAGTGATAGTAGGAACTGCAGATGCTGGAGAATCTGAGATAACAAGGTGTAGAGCTGGATGAACACAGCAGGCCAAGCAGCATCAGAGGAGCAGGAAGGCTGACGTTTCGGGCCTAGACCCTTCTTCAGAAATG